GTAAACCACTACTGAGATAATTGAATTATCCTTATTTGACTGATGAGAAAGCTGAACAGCAGCAAGATTAAGTAACCTACGTAAGTCATGTACTGAAGTGGTATTTATGAATCTAGAGTAAGAACACCGCTATGCTAACCTACCTCCTGGTAGCAAGTGAGGCACTATATTGCCATCTTACATATTCAGAAGAAAGTCTCCAATTTACAGTAGTATATATCTATGTGTATGTGTGTGTTTGCCTAATAATTTTTGCCAATATTTAGGAAACTCATCAAATATATTTTCAGCTTCATTAAATCTGTTTGCAAGATTAATATCAACTATAAAGACACCATAATGAAAGATTAAATTCAAAAGTAAATACTCTTAATACAAAAATGCACTAATGTGTTCTCACTAAAATCACAATGCACCAATGTGTTCTCACTAAAATCACATAATATAAATTCACATAATTTTGAATCAGAAATTTGCAAACATGTTTAAATGCAAGTCACAATATCTAATATCTAATATTTAAATACTATGAATATGAGTCAATTACTTCTGTAGCTCCAGATTTTATTCTTTTCTCAAAAGAGGAAAACAAAGAAATACTATCTAAAGAAGAATTACTTGTATATTATTTCCCATCCATACTATATTACCAAATTATAGATATGTAGTCTTAAGAGTAACATTGAAAGATTGGAAGTAAAATAAAAAACAAAAATCACATGTATTGTAGTCTGCTCTTGGAGTGTTTATAACCAGGAAGAGTTAAAAATTACCAAAGAGGAAGGCATGTTTATATAAGGCTACAACAAATCATTTTAAAAATAGAAGTACTAAGTTTGCTTTTATACACTGTATATCCTCAGAATGTTTTTACTCTTACCCCACTTTTTTTTCCACAGCTTCATTTCTATGTTTAAATTATTTTTACCTACTATGATAAAGATCAATTTGTACTTTAAGGAAATCATTAAGGCATGAGGTAGAGAAATTACTGACTTTGTTTTGTGTTTATATCCATAACACCAGCAAACCTCAGTAAAAGTAGTTAGATCAGCAACAACAGTTTGAATGTGTCCCCAGTAATACCATAGTAAATGTCTATGCCTCTGTGCAAACAACTCAGAAATAAAAACAAGAATAAGTTTAAATACACATCACATTATGTTACTTGTAAAAGACTCCTCATACTGTCCTCTCCATTATTTAACCTATCTCCAAGGCCCAGGGTTAACTTCTAATTGTACACCATCTGAAAATTGATCTAGAAACATTGGAATAGCATCCCTATTTTGTATAGCATTTCATTTCATTCTACTCCTAGCCAACTTTAAAATCCACTGTGGAACCTCTTTCACAATGCTCCATACAACAGTTCCTAACTTTTCTCACCCTCTTGCCTCCTTGATACCATATTTTGCTTCCTGCTTTTACTGTAAGGAGTTTTACTCAGGTTAGCATGCCACATGCGATGCGCTAATATGTTCTCACTAAAATAAGGTTTTCATAGGACAACAATGTCATGTCAGTGTTTTACTGCTGAAGTCATTGGAACCAACTCTGTCCTACAATTACTTATCGGTACATATATTTCAAAACTATTTGTATTGTCTGTATAAGGAATGTTTCCTAAATAAAAGCACGATTGCTGTCAAAGAATTCCAAATTTAGTGAAGCACTAAAGCAGCAAACAAAACTTCTCAGCGGCTAGAAAGAGAAGAGAAAGGGTCTTCAATCATGATATAGATATGAAACTGATCCTTTTATTTTCTAAATTTATTCTCTTACCAAGTGGGGAGGGAAAGACAGTCAAAAACAGTAAAGTAATATTACTTCTCAAAAATATACCATTTTAAAACAGCTTTAAAATATGTACACCTGAGTCCCTCTTCAATTGCTCTAAACATCAGAATTATGATTATAGAACTATTATAGTATCTTTAGTTCAGAGCATTATAAATGATTGTTTTTGTTATAGTACACAATCACTCTGGAACTGTGTGAAGTGATTTGTCTAGCCAATTTCTTTTAAATAATTAATATTATATTATCAAAGACATTTAAAAAAATGAAAACTATTGTCATGCTGTAATAGATGAGTTCTGACATTAAAATATCAACACTTTATTGATAAAATATGCAAGATAACATTAATGAGGCTATTAGATTTTAACTACTCAACTAAATTTACAATTCAAATTAGCCAATAAACTAAACCTACAAATTGCTAAGTGCTATGCTGGGACCCTCATTTTGTCATCAGACTAATGAATATATTGATTTTTATTCTGTTAAACTTACAGGATATAACTGTGAACTTGTGATCAGGGAGAATTCAATTCATCCTTTATCCAAATATAATTGCTTTACAGATTAAAAAAAATGGTACCAAATAAACACAAAGTAGACACAGAGAAGATAGGAAAACACCAGAAATTAATTACATTAAAGAGAATCTAGAGGTGAACACAGCCAGCAGAATGACCAGTGCTGTGATTTACATGTTGTCAGCAGGACAAGAGCAAAAAAAAGGCAGTCCAAGTGAAGGATTTAGCTTGACAAGGCACTAAGGTATGTCCATGCAGGATATGCTCAGAGAATCTCATGCAGTCCAGGGTTACTAAGTCATAGAATAGGTGGAGCCAAGGATAAAGGTGACTTAGGATTGGATTGTGTTGGGCCCTAAATGTCATATTTTATTCCCCCAAAACCAAACACAGACTAAGGCAAATGTGAAATGAACAGAAACCCTGAGCATCATAGTATAGAATGGATGATTCTGGAAATACAAGATCAAGAAACCTGCAATAAGGCCATCACTTGAGCAGAAATGCAAAGAGTAATTGTCTAATGGAAAATAAATTAAAAATTGCTCAACCATTATGATGAATGCCAGCATTTTAGATCAGCTCTTTGAGAGATATATTTGAATAATTCAGTTAACACAGTCTCTAAAGGACATTTTCAATTCCATGTATGGTTTATTCTTAGAGTGGCCAGAAGGTATAATTCTATTTACAATGCAATCTTTTCCAAAATAAACAGCAATAGCTTCCCCCTACCCCCGGCATTTGCTTGTTGTGCTAAAAGAAGCATTAGACCTAGTCTTATTTATGAGTGAAAAATAGATCGTTCTCATTTATAGAGGAGTATTATTTATTATATGATACAGTGGTTAGAGAACTATGCACTTGAAAATACTCAGAAATATGCTCTCATCTTTTTCATTTTACATGCAGAAGAGAAGGGGATTTTTGTTCTCTTCTCTCTGTGGCCCTGTTAGAAACACTACAAACTATGAGGGAAGGCGTTTTGGCACCACACTGTATTACATTTATACCAACTGAAGAGTAGGCAAAATGCAGGAAACTGAAGTCATGGAAAAAATGGAAATGCTATCAGTATGTCAGAACAACATACCAATTGAGGTATATCCCTCTTAAGCATACACATATATCAATCTGTTCAGTTTTCAATGGATAAATATACACGGGACATCTAGACAATAATATTATTACACAAGCAGACATATGGGTCTTACTTAAAAAATGATGCCTCTGATTAGCATTTATCTTAATGCTAACGATACAAATTCATGAATCCATTTTCCTGGAATGCCGAGTTAATGAATGTTACCCTGAAGAGTTTCCAAAGGTGAACTTAATCCAAACCAATGTTAAATAGATGACGTTGTTTCACATTCTTCAGAACAAAATGAGAGGGATAGCATTTAACAATTCACCTGATGAATGCATATCTGACATCAGCAAAATATACTGGAATAACATAGCAGGAATTCATGTAATTTTTCTTGTAAAAGAGATTAATTCTCAGAATGCACAAAGGATAACAATGCAGATTAGGTAACACCATAAACAAGTACACAATTACTGAACCAGCCCAGAGTTTATTTCCATAATCAAGTTACCAGTATTGAGCTTCTGCTTCCAATTAATCAGAGAGAAAATTGACCTTGGACAACTAGACTTCTCCAGAAAATGAGCTATATAGAAATCATTCATCAAAGATTAAAACAAATGAAATTAGAATAATGTACACCATTGATTTAATCCTGCTTTAAAAGTTATCACACCTCCAAGTATTCCAATAATTTACTTATCCTACGTCTCTATTTATGCTTGTGTTTGTGGAAAAATTTCTTCCTTTAATTTTCACTCCCACCTTCTTCTATATTGACTATGATTCTATATTATCAACATTGAACATAAGAGGCAAACACTTTCTGAATAGTATTCAGCTCAAGTGGAAACAGAATCTGTCAGTCAATGAGAGTTTCAGAAATGTGTGTGTATGAGTATACAGTAATATACATATATGTGTGTATATATAATGTGTTTATGTAAATTTCTGTACATACACAAACATATATAACATATACCACTACACAATAAACAAAAAGAGCTGTACATTTTAAACACTACATTTCAAATATAATTTTTCTCACTAGAGCATAAAATCATATTTAAGTGACCAAATACCATAAATATGGAGGGGAATTAACCCAAATAATATGTCATGCAATAAGTGAACAAGGGAAGAATTCTGTGTATGTGTTTTATTAGTCTGTGTTCATATAGAAATATGTATGTGTGTGGTGAACACCTGCGGTCAATTTCTCCCTCTCGGGAACATGCTCTTTTAAAGAAGTTTCTTCAAGAAAGAGATGTTTTGGAATATCACTTTTAGGATGTTTCATAAGACATTACAAGATGTAAAAAAAAAACTTTGTAAAAGACAGTTATAGTATTCAAAGTTTTATTTCATCAAAATAACTGTTAGTATTCTGAGATAAATATTAAAATGCGTAAACTCACATGTTTATATTAGGTGTTAATACCATTCAGTTTCTCAGACATTTACTTTGGTATTCCAAGTTAGGATTAAGTCATAGATTGATTGCTATACTTTATTAATTTTAACTCTCTTCTTTGGGTTGAATCTTTAAAAAATACACACACATACACACATTTGGACACCATTAGTGAACCAAAACCACATGGTGAAAAGTTTTTATTATGCCACATCAGATATTACAGATCCTCTCCCATTTCTTGATCCATATAACCTACAAAGAATTTTTCCAACCATTAAAACTTGGCAAAACTGCAATCTCCATGGTGGTATTGTCATGCAGAGAATTAGATGTTAAGTAAAAACTAGGAACATTCATGATAGCAGCAGGGATTCCAAAGTGAACCATCAAGTCAGACACAATACTGTGACCAATTTAAAGGAAGGATATTTATAGACAGAAAAAACAATACACAAAACCAAAAAATATTCCAAAGATATTTATGTTTATTGTTTTAAATTTAAATAGAAAAAATACATCCGAGGGATATAATGTTTTATATTTTAGTAATTCCAGAGTTTAGCTCCAACACATTTATCTTAAAATATAAGTATCTGTGATTAAATTTTATAGAAATTTAAATCCTCACTATTTTAAAGACTCATTTTCCAGTGAGAAATTGAGACCTGAATAATTCTACAATGCTATGCTCTAGTATAAATTTTGTTTTAAGAAGCAAAGGAACCGTGTAACCATGAGTAATAAGTTTAGCTTTGAAAAGCAAGGGACATTTACTTAAAGAGACAGTGTTTAAAAATAATTTCCTGATGAATTACTTTAAAATAGTAAACCAATAATCGGTAACATTCCTTTTTTTCAAAATAAATTTGCAAAAACCAAATCATAACAACTAAGTGCTCCTCACTATAACATACCATGTTACTACTCCTACATAGAATAAAATTGCCAATTTCAGGGAGTCAAATGTGATTACTAAAACCTCAAGAAATATGTTCTTGAGGAAATAATTTTCCCATAAAATCAAAACACCTGTATCTCCTACAAAACCTCGAACTCTTATAAATATCATACTTCACATTTACTATTCTAATTGAGCAAGAATATCAAAGCTCAGATGATAACAAATTTAGTTATGATATGATAAAATATGCTTTTTTACTTCTATAATAAGGAGTATTTTCAATTGCACAGCTAAACAAACAATTTTAAAATTATTCAGGAGAAGACAGAAGGGAATGAACTTTATTTATACAACACTTCAGCTGAAAAATCAAAGAAAACCTTTATTTCTTCTTGAGTTTTCAACATTTTCAGAATCAAAGTAATTATCAGGGGGTTTTCTTCATTAAGGATAAATCAGTGGAAAAATTAACCTCCTATTTCAAACTATAGCCATTCAAAGTCTTATCACATATATACAGCTGTGCATGAAAAATGGATTTTCATTCAACTTACAATGAAGCTCCCTTAAAAATCACATAACCTTACCTTATCAACCAACAATAATTTTTCTGCCTCTTAAAAATGAAAGCTCTGATTTACTGTATACTTGAACTAGGAGACAATATACATAATCAGTAAAATGACAAGCCAACATGCTGCACTGTATTAGCAACATCTGTAAAGACAAAATACAGACTCCAATTCACAAATATAAAAGACTGAGAAAAAATATGTCAGTCAAGGGTTAACTGAAATGCCATACATTTTCTGTTATCAGAGCTTCTTTGACTTTCCCCAAAGGAAGGTGTTTTTTATGGACTTCAAGTAATAATATGTGTATATATCCATGGAAATCTATAGTCTGCATATTAATTTGCCTTCAGAAATAATATTATGCAATTGGTAATCTTATATTGCCAACAACATAGTTTTGTGCATGTATTTGCCAGACTCTTAATGCATACTGTAGAAAAAAATAAAAATGGGACATAGCTGAGAAAATATAAAACAAATGAGTTCAGCAAAATATTGTATTAAAGAGATGATGTCTATGTATTAGTACATTGAAAACATCCTAATTGCATTTCACATTATGATATTCATATATGAGCTACAAAAATCAAGGAAAAAATACCTATCAAATTGTGTAAATCCACATTATCTCCATATTTTATATTATATTTTACTAACAGTGTTTATTTATTCTCTCTGATCACACACACATACACAAAAATCCCAATGTATTACAGGCAGATATTTCCAAAGTAGGTTATGTCTTATAGAAACTAGATTTACATGGGATAAGTAAAAGTAATGAAAAGTTTGTTTTACTGAAAGCTGGATGAAATGTATATATAGTAGAAAAATTAAAGAAGACTATAATTAATTTTAAATTTTAGTGTTAATATAGAATATATTTATCCTATACTACTTGTTTAACGTGACCAACTCTGTCATAGTTTGAGGTCTCTGATGACATTTCAAATATATTTGTGTAATTCTTTTTCCCAGGTTAGTATTTTCAACTAAATTAATGGTTTGGTGATAAAATAATACTCTTGAATATTGTAAATTTTTTCTGCATAGTTCCATTTTTCCATTTTGAAGTGGAGATGTTTGTTTCTAGTAAAAGGAAAGGATACCATTTTATTCAAAATTTCTTTTATATTACACATTGGTATTCCTTTTATTTTTTAACAGAAGTAATTAGTGGCAGAGAAAAGCTATTAAGACACCATAGGCATTTTAAAAATTTTCATTAAATGTAGCATTATCTCAAAAGAACTTATAATTGTTTATACATATAATAAGAAATAAATACTTCACTAATCTACTGATGAATTGAAGGACAAGAAAGTATAAACAATGTAATAAATTAGCATTCGGATAGAAATACATGACTGAAACATAAAGCCCAGGAAGGAAAAGAGAAACTGAAAAATGAAAGGGAAGCACTCTCACAGGTCAACTCTGGGATTCCCTGACAGAAGCTAAAGAAGCTTGCAGAAATACTAACAAGGAAAACATAAAAAGAATTGATTGATTGAGATGGAGTCTTGCTCTGTCACCTGGCTGGAGTGCAGTGTTGCAATCTTGACTCACTGCAATCTTTGCCTCCCCATTAAAGTGATTCCCCTGCCTCAGCCTCCTGAGTAGCTCGGACTACAGGCACACACCACTACGCCCGGCTAATTTTTTGTATTTTAGTAGAGACAGGGTTTCACCATGTTGGCCAGAATGGTCTTGATCTGTGGATCTCATGATCCGCCTCGGCCTCCCAAAGTGCTGGGATTACAGGCGTGAGCCACTGCGCCTGGCCGAGAATTTATTTTTTATACAGGAGTTCTTTCTATTAGCTTTCTAGTCCTTCTCAATTTTCTGAGGTGTCATATGGCTGACTTAATTCAGATTTAATCTAGGTTTAATGTTTGATTCCAGTGACATCTGATATACAGAAGGTAAAAACCACGTAGCTCTCTTTATTATATCAGTAAAAGATACTCTAGTCAATCCCTGGTCTATTGGAAGTGCAAATAACAAATGGTGACTCAGTTAAAGATGGTGAAATAAAAATATTTATAATTCACTCCCCACCTATGAGAACCTCCAAAAATAACATAATGAAAAATTGAGGGAAAAAAAACAAACCGTATCTGTAACTAACAAGTAATTCATGACAAACTATAGTCAATATCTTTTAAATAGGTAGACATTTGCACTAATAGGAGAAAGGAAATTGACTGGCATATATCTTGGGCAGGATGTAGATTTAAATAAGTATCATTATCCTGAGATGTTTCAAACAAAGATGGATTGTTTGAAGCCTCCCTAAGATGGAGTGTAAATAGGCAAGAAAAAACAAAATCTGTCTTCATGTATTTTCACTATATACTTTTGAATAGTGGAATGTAGAGATAAAGATAAAAATTCTGATAGCCTATATTTAAGAGTTGTGAACCAGCCTGCTGCATAATACAGAATACTAAGTTTAACATGGGGAAGGAGGAGGGACTAAGAGCAGTAATCACTAGCAATAACATAGAGAAAGTAAAACAGAGAGTTTTACACTGTGAACTACATTGGCCACTCAAATATCAAAAATAGGTTTAAAAATATGTTGCCTGGGCAGAAGAAAAAACACATAAAACAGATTTGGGGAGGTGGGCTTGAAACCTGAAATTAAATAGCTTCTGTGGGCCGATCTGACTCACCCTCCCACCACTTCCCACACTATAGTTCAGTAAATAGCTGGCTCTGCTCAGTGATTAATAGAAAGAAATCAGCCCAAAAACTAGGCAAAGGCGATAAACACTCAATGAAAAAGCAGATGAAGCTCACGCCAGAGAAAAACTTTTTTCAGGAAATGGAGGAAGCATTTACATAAATAGTTCCCTGTAGTCTCAAAAAATATTACAGACATGATCTCATTAATATAGAAAATGAAAAGCTCAAAGAAGATATTTCAATGAAACAATGGTATAAACAGAAAAAGATACATGAAATGGCAGTGATCAAGAAAGCAATGGAAAACAAAATAAACCATTATGAAGTTGAAAAATACACCAGAAGTTGCAAAATAGAATAATCACAACTAAAAAGTCATAGGGTCATGGTTGACAAAAGTTAACAAAAATTTTATAGATACCAAAGTGATTATAAATAATAATGTAAATAGTAGAATGACTTATAATCCTTTAGGTACATACCCAGTAATGGGATTGCTGGGTGAAATAATATTCCTAGTTCTAGTTCTAGATCCTTGACTTGGAACTAACCCAAATGCCCATCAATGATAGACTGGATAAAGAAAATGTGGCACATATACATCATGGAATATTATGCAGCCATAAAAAGGATGAGTTCATGTCCTTCAAAGGGATATGAATGAAGCTGGAAACCATCATTCTCAGCAAACTAACACAAGAACAGAAAACCAAGCACCACATGTTCTCACTCATAAGTGGGAGTTGAAGAATGAGAACACGTGGACACAGGGAGGGGAACATCACACACTGGAGCCTATTGGGGAGTGGGAGGCTTGGAGAGGGATAGCATTGAGAGAAATACCTAATGTATATGATGGGTTGATGAGTGCAGCAAACCACCATGGTAGGTGTATACCTATGTAACAAACATGCATGTTCTGCACATGTACCCCAGAACTTAAAAGTATATTTAAAAAACAAATACTGTATATAGTTATAGAACAGGGGTCCCCCAACCCCCTGATCAGTGACCAGTTAGGAATTGAGTGGCACAACAGGAGGTGAATGGTGTCCATTGAGCATTACTGCCTGAGCTCTGCAACCTGTCAGATTACTGGCGGCATTAGATTCTCATAGGAGTGCATGCGAGGTTGTCAGCTCCTTGTGAGAATCAACTAATGGCTGAGGATCTGAGATGGGACAGTCTCATCTGAAAACCACACTCACTGGTTCTTCTTGCCAAAACAGTTGGGGACCACTGTATGGAGACAAAAGGGATTTGATATAATTGGCGTTTCTAAAAAGAAAATTTACTTAGACATAATTGCAGAAAATTTTCCTGAAGTAAAGCTTGAAATCTGGGATAAAAAGCACTGTCTCTTTAAATCTCTTGCTTTAAAGAAACACCATCTAAATTTCAATAATTTCTTCAGTTTTACCCTCCTATTTTTATCTTGAGATAAAAGTCAATTTAATTTTTTTATTATTTAAAGGCAGCATATGTTATATTGGCTTCTACATTTATAAAACTATGTCTTTTAACCAAACAATCTACTCTTCTATACAAACATATCCAAATATCATAAAATATTTATAATTTCTGGGTGGTAGAATTTTGAGATTGTTTTAAAATTTCTACAATATCTATCTTTAATAGTCATATATCATTTTTACAAATGACAATGATGTCAATGTGATTAAAAAAGAAGGAATAGAAGACAAAGTTTTAGAGAGAAAAGAAAAATAAGTGATCTCAATTGCTCTACTATCACTACCTCCAGATTTGTGACCCTCCAGTCATAGTTTACACAATAATGAGGTGATTTCTCTAAAACAGAAAAATAAGAATGTTAGTTTTCATCATATTATTCTTTAAGATTTTAAATAAATTGCCACTAGTCCTGATCAAATCCCATTCCTTAAGTAATTTACACAAAACTGTCCCTAATCCAGGCCGTTTGTGTCTTCCCAACATCAACAACTCTCACTTCCCTGCATTCATCCTTCCCTCCAAACACTCTGAACTAACAATTTCTAGTTAGAGTTCCCCTTGACTTTCCAAATCTTCATCTCTTCTGCCTCAGGTAGTGACAAAATTATGCTTTTGTTTGTTTGTTTGTGGAAGTGGGAATGGAGGCTATAAGAACTCCAAATCATTCTATGGAATTTATCTTAAGATCATGTCTATGAAATCTTCTCTGCTATCACTCTTGTTCCTCTCCATCAACAACATTAATAAGTTATGGGCATCTTTTACCCACCTCTAGATCAGTGCTATGTGGAGTAATTTTGGAGCCTGAGGCAGAAGAAAACATTATTACTGCTGATCCTATTATTTAAAATTTGTATATTCCGTTCATCATAAATTTTTACATTAATTTTGAATGTTAAAAATATTGACTTAGATATTATGTATCTTGACTATTGAAGTTTTGGTGTCCCCATACATATTTGTGCCTGAGATGAGTATCACCCTAGTTTTGGCACTGCTCTATTCTACTGAAACATTTGTTACATGCTATCTTCTCTGCCAGACTCTGACTACCTGCAAGGAAAGGGGTTATTTTTATTTTTGTATATCTAAAAATCAGCCCAGTACCTAAACTGGGCAGGAGCCCATTTAGTGAATGAAAGCCCAGAAAATCCCAGAAAAGAGAAATAACCAATATTCTACAGTATTTAAAGAATACAATCTTCCCTGGGGAAGATTACACTTAATATAAATGGAGATATGTTAAATGTATTTTGAGGGTAAGGAAACCTTAGTTTGAAGCTAGCCATGAACTCAAAGTAATCAAGCAGTAGAACTAAATTTTTGTCCATAAACATTTATTTTTGATGCAAAGTTTCAGTGTTTTTATTACAAGAGTATGCTTGTATTTACGAGAATCAGAGAATATGAAAATTGAAAAGATCTTAGATATTGCATAATCCACCTCCTCCCTGTTATAAATGAGGGATCTGTCCTAGAAAGGTTAAGTGACTTGTTTAAAACCACAAGATAGTCATAACCTGAAATTAACTGACCCATCCCCATACCTGGTGCCTTCTACTGGAGATTATTCACAAATTTAGAAGAGGAGACCATTGGAAACAGGAATATGAAGAGTCAATTCTTCCTGGCCTAGTCAATTCTTTCTAGGCCAGGAAGAATTGACTAGTTCATAGGTAAAATAAGCCACAAATAAGTTGTTTATGCATTGTTTGAAATGGGGTCACTGTTAAGATGAGATTATTGAAAAATGACTTTTCAAAGTTCATTCCAACCCTGTGATTTTATCTTTGTCATTTGACTTCTTTGTGACTCATTTAATCAAAAAAAAGGGTGACTCTACTCTCTACCTACTTTAATACGAGATTTGTGAGGTCCAATTTGAAATATACATTATTCAAAGAACTATGTATATGCACAAATGCAAGTCATTTTTAACTGTGGATTAATCATGTAAATATATTTTTAGACCTAGTCATGCCTGGAGGAAATTAAAATTATGTAGCAGTTAGTGGCCAGCCTAGACTGAGAATACTAGGTCCTGAATGAAACTATTCAGAATTTCATCTTTAAAAGTGATATATAAAGGTACCATTCTCAGCCAAAATTATTATTATTCACAGATAACCAGAACTTTGGGTGCCCCTAATTATTCTTGTGAGATTTTCTAATACTGAAATGTGACTGGCTCTTTACAAAAGTATTTGTACTTGATGTACCTCTGGGTTGTTGGGAAGATAGAAATAATGACCAAAATAAAAAACACTGAATGAATTTGATGAAATTTAGTTAAGGAAAGAAAACAACATAATATTATTATTACTATTATTATTAACATTGTGTGCAAATGCAATAATTTATTTTATAATAATGATTAGGCTTTCTGGTTAATTTGTCCTTCAAATTAGCAATTAAGAATCCTTGGTTAATTTTGTTCTTTCCTGTTCTTTGGCCAGCTGATTTATTTTTAATCCCTCATAGGTAAAAGTAAAAAAAAAAAAAAAAAACTTATGAGTTCACCTGGATCTCTGGTCTACAAATATAAAATCATTTCTTTTTATCTCTTTAAACTCTGTAAGATTTGTAGAAAAATTTTTTTAAAGGAAGCAAATGAATTATTTCTTAAGATAGGCCAATAGATTAGCAAAGAGTACAAAGAGTAAGTGTTCCTCACCAAAAAAAAAAAAAAAAACAACAACAACAACAAAACGAAACAAAACAAAAACAGTCTTTTCATCAGAATAGTAAACTATCCATTTCTAGCATAGTTCCTGGAACACAGTATGCTCTGAACAACTATGTAATGAATGAATTGTGCTTCCAGCCACATTTCCAAGCATTGTCCTTAAGGCCAGAAATCTATTCACATTCATGAAATAATTTATGATAAGCTTTTTTGTACAAGTACTCTTTATTAAATATATACATATATACAAATGTTACTGGGCCTAATTTTACTAGAATCAATTTTAAAATGGGGGATTTGGACTGCGTGATTTCTACAGTATCTTTTAGCCTTAAAGTGTATTGATTCTATGGAATACCTAGAGAGACAATCAAGAAAGAATTCTCAGATATGACTTACAATTAATATTTGGCATTTGCACAATTTTCAGGTCTCAAAAACAATCATTGCAAGGTAATGCTGTAAATGAAAAATTGATGCCAATTAACTACTGTCCCTTCCTTTCCAAAAAATAAAAGAGAGAGAGAGAGGTTTTGTCTGCAAGGAGGCCATTTCTATCAATATGTTCCCTAAAACACCTAGAACACATTCACTCATCCAATCCAAAGCAGATAGAGAGAAGCACAGAAGAAAATCTAGAGGTAATATGATAAAAACCAGACCTGGATTAAGCTGCATAGACAGCTGCTAAATTTTCAATTAAGTTGTTAAGCCTACCTAATGAGAAAGAAATCAGTACATGAACACCATGATAAATTTCATAACAGAGTCAGTGACATCCCATTCCACGGCTGTTTTTTACTTTACTCCTTTCATTTGCCACTCTTTTAATTTTAAAACATTCACCTTAGTTCTATAGCCTTACTCCCAAAACACAAACATGAAAACTGCCCAGACTTACAGAACTATGGACACAAGAGCTCTTCAAAATTTAGCATTTCACTAGCTAATATGTAGATCTATGCTGGGGACAGCACCTGAAAAAACCTGTGCTGAGTTCCTATATCTAATGATTCTGGGATTCTGATCAAACTCTACTCTGTGGCTCTAATCAAATTTGAGACTGTTAATCTATTAAGTCTTACAGCACCCAGATTTTTACTTTCAAGTACACAATGCTTTTCACTTACAGAACAATCTGCATCACATTCTCATCTATTTTGAAAACCAATTGCTGAAGCTGTACTAACATGTATTTATCTCAAAGTGGCTATGTGAACAAATATACTTGTTATCCACTATAAGTATAGGTGGAAAAATATTTTGAATATGTTGTTAGACTCTAAATAAATGCCCTTCACTAAAGAATGCAATGTCCTCTGCTAGTTTATGGTTCTTTGGCATGCATTGACTGTTCTACTTTTTAAGTAATATTGTAGGTAAAGGTGCAAGAGCTTTCCTAGAGAGACAGTTTCTAGCATAGTTCCTGGAACGCAATAGGCTCTCAATAACTATGTAGTAAATGAATACATAACTGAATGAACTACCATGAAAAAGAATTTATACAATGAGTTAAACTTTGGCTCAGAGCACAAAATTTCAAGTCAACTGTTAAGTACTGTTTGGCCAACATAAGAAAGGGAACATATTTCCTCTGGTCTATGTCTTAGTTCTCGATGCAGCAGAGATTTTACTCTATTGATCAGTGGTTATACTATTCCATTTCTTTTTGCCAATGATTCATTTAACAGGAAAATTTCTTTTCTTAAAACTCTTAAGAAGATCACCAAAGGTCACTGCATATGACATCCAATAAACAATTCTGGTTAAGGGCAATGCCACTGGGAAATTTAGGGTGGCAGGTTGATATTCATAGGGTAGATTTTTTAAATGTCATAGTCTCTTTTCAAATACCAATGAAAAAATATGCACCACATGTCTCTAATAGCTCTATTTCTCTTATCTCAACTTTCCAGGATGGAGTGTACTCTATCTAATTGAATGTTGAATTCTTTTAAAATCATTTTTTCTGAAAGAAAAAAAAAACATAGTTCATTTTTTCACTGAGGGATCAATTAACTCTCCCAATAACTGGCTTATATCTTTAAATGGAAAAATTACATAGAGTTTTTCTTTTAATAAAGAATGTTTGTTTATATTTAAAAACGTTTAAAAAGACATTCTGCATTTTCATCACCTTTTAGCAAACTACTATAGCAACAAAATTACATTAGACTTTCTGATTTCTCCATAGTGTCCTTTGATAAATAAACAACCCAATAAACCATGTTAAATGCCCCAAATGTGACTGGAAAGAGAATACGGGCATATTTGTCTATTTTACTTGTGCCAGATCCAGAAGGTGGTGGAGCCGATGGAGGAGGAGGAGCTGACAACTTCCCAGAAGCCCCTATGGTATTAACTGTGGTCTTAATCCTCTGCAGTCTTGATCCAAACACATGACGAGTAGAAACAGATCCAATGGAAGCCTTTCGAGACATATATCCAGTTCGGCTGGAAGTAGGAGAAGTGGATGAAAGTGCTCTTGCCGCAGATATGGTTTCAGCTGCATTTGCACGGCTGAATGGGTTTGGACTGGAAGCTAAGTAAGACCGAGGTGTGCCTTTAGAAGATTCTTGAACAACTGTGGAAGATTTCCTTTTATGGTTTCCCACCTCAGTTCTGTTGCCAACATCAGATTCAGAGTGAACCAAAGCATTTGTTCTTTTTCTCATGTTCAAATTGGCATTTGTATTCTGAAAAGGTATATGAAAAAGTATATTGGTTATGTAACTTTATGCAGATTTGTACAAATTTAAAAGGATTGAAATACTTAAAATTAGTCATTTCCATAAAATAAACCTTTATAATAATCTGTAGTCACCTTGAGTTTAAAAAGCTTTAAAATACATAACTAAAAGATAATGTATACACATTTGAAACTTTGAATCAAAGATCTTCTATTTCAAAATATGGTGTATTCTTATAAATAACTGGACTCTAAATTATAGAAAGAAAGAGGACTAAGTTATTAGAAATACTAGCTGTGATTACACTTAATTTCATTTTAGGAGTTAACGATTATTGCTGTACAAGTTGTTTGTTCAGTTTTATTGCAAATAATATCCTGTATATGTCAGATACATTTCAAAGTTTTCTATCTGTTTGTTTTATAAACAGAGAGAACAGGAATAGTTCTCCCTGTTTATAAAACAAACAGGTGGTATTCCACGTACAACAGAATACCAACAATAACAACTGTCCATATTTACATAACATTCCTTTATTTAAAAAATGAAACTGTCTGGGCACAGTGGCTCATGCCTGTAATCCCAGCACTTTGGGAGGCCAAGGTGGGTGGATCACCTGAGGTCAGGAGTCGAGACCAGCCTGACCAACATGGAGAAACCCTGTCCCTACTAAAAATACAAAAATTAGCCGGACTTGGTGGCTCATGCCTGTAATCCCAGCTACTAGGGAGCCTGAGGCGGGAGAATTGCTTGAATCTGGAAGACGGAGGTTGCAGTGAGCAGAGATGGTACCATTGCACTCCTGCCTGGGCAATAAGAGAAAAAGTCTATTCAAAACAACAACAATAAACCCACCCAGGTGCAGTGGCTCATGCCTGTACTCCCAGCATTTTAAGAGGCCAAGGTGGAAGGATCACCTGAGGTTAGGAGTTCAAGACTGGCCTGGCCAATGTTGTGAAACCCCATCACTACTAAAAATATAAAAATTAGTCAGGCATGGTGGTGCATGCCTGTAATCCCAGCTACCTGGGGAGCTGAGAAAGGAGAATCACTTGAAGCTGGGAGGCAGCAGTTGCAGTGAGCCGAGATCACGCCACCAGCATGGGCGACAAGTTTGAAACTTTATCGCAGTTCAAAAAAAAATCCAAAAACTTTGATTTCTGAAACCTTTGAATTTACTTTCATAAAAGGCATAGGAAAGTATACACATTATTATAAAATCTAACAATCCTGACACATTTTATTTTTTATCACAATTAATGATGAAAATACAAAAAAAAGTTAATTTTAAAAAAGGTTGTATTCAACTTATGAACAGCATCAGCAAATAGTCGCATAAATACCTGAATTCAAACTATTAACCAGTAAAGAGTGATTAAATCAAAATGCAATTCACTGGTTTTCATCAAATAATTTTATTTGTAAAACAAGATTATATTTGAAGAAAGTTGTGCAGTAAACCACTAAAATTCTTAAAATATTGACAACCACAATAAATAGCTACATACATAGTTAATTATAGATTCTCCATGCTAACGAAGGATAGCAATTTCTCAGATGATCCTTCAAATAGTCATGTCTGACTTTTTAGAATATACTATGATATTTTTGCAGTAATTTGTCCTCTCTAACTACGTTTATTCTAAGCCATATTACGGTTAGATGATAATTACTTTCCATAACCATTTCATGAAGCAGATGATGAGTGAAAAGATGGAGAAATAAAGAGAGAAAGAAGAGCAACTCATAAAAGGGTGATTGGAAGATGCAAGCCTCAAAGGACAATTCACAAATACTAATACATAAAGTGGATAGATTATATACAATTAATTGAGATCTCACTTTAGACATAAAGGCTTATTCTACAAATATAATCTTTCTTAGTACACTCATCTAGCATGTTGAAAGTTCAATTCATATCTTATAAATAATGATTTCAAGGTTGCTGAATAGAAAAGGAAAAACAGCCTTGCAAAACAGAGCCAATGTAGACTCCAAGAAGTGTAGAAAGCATTCATGTCAAAAAAAAAAAAAAAAAAAAGAAAGCATTCATGTCAGCTTGGAGTCTTTTTTTTTTTTTTTTTTTTTTTTTTTTTGAGATGGAGTCTCGCTCTGTCCCCAGGCTGGAGTGCAGTGCTTACTGCAACCTCCACCCTCTGGGTTGAAGCAGTTCTCAAGCCTCAACCTCCCAAGTAGCTGGGATTACAGGCACTTGCCACCACGCCCGACTAATTTTTGTATTTTTAGTAGAGATGGGGTTTCACCATGTTGGCCAAGATGGTCTTGATCTCCTGCCCTTTTGATCCACCCGCCTTGGCCTCTTAAAATGCTGGGTATTCCAAGCTTGAGCCACTGTACCTGGACGGCTTGGAGTATTATTCTTCTAAGCAGGTTGCAGTTGAATTAATGAGAAACTGTAGCCTAACATACAACACTAAATTTGGGTGGAGAATACTTAAATCAAAATTGACATCAATTTTTAGGCTGAAGAACCAATTCTTATCCTGCACTTTTTCTTTACACGGAACTTTATAAATGTCATCTAATTACTCCTCAGATTTTGAATCTCTTGTTACAGAAAAGGATAAAATTTAGTTGATTATCATGATCTAACATGTTATACATATGGTGAATAATATAAAAAAGAACAAGGTAAATCCTTAAAATTTAAAGAGCATATATCAGCATTGGCAAGGAAACATACATACACACATGATACAATAACAAATACAACAAAAGCAAAATATATTCAAGAACTGAATTATGACCAAATACTGATTATCCCAAGAGGAGAAAAAGAGTAAAAATGATACATTTGACAAACAGGAAAGAAATCCATTTTTTCAAATATCTGATAGTTGCATACTGTCTTTTTCTTTCATTCAGGTTGCCCATGACCTTTAAAAATCTGTATGTTTCCTAATACTAAATTATAAGGACTGGAGGCTTTCCCTTCTGGCCCAAATTAAGTGAACTGAATCTACTTTCCTGCCTAAAATGACCTCCCCCAAAATGTGACAAAATATGCAAAACAACTGTTGTTTGAAGAAACTGGCCGTTAGACAACACAGAACCGTAAGCACTGAGAGGGAAGAAACAAACTTGAGAGAGTTGCCATGCTGTGGTATAGGAAAGGAAAAACCAGAAAAAACTGGCAGACTTCCTGAACTGAAGAGACAGAGCTAAGAGTCTTGGGAGACATATAGGTGGCAGAGTTCACAAGACAAAGTACCAGAGACAAGAATGCTAAACAAAGAGAAAACGCCAAATATCTGAAGAGAGTCCCCACTGAGTATTTTACTAAACAAAGATTGGTTTCTGAGAGTCAGGTAATAAGCCAAGGCTGAACGGAAAACCATCTGAAATGATTAAAAGAAACAGTGCCTGACATTGACCCAAAGCCAGGAATAGTGTGCATTCCCACTTGCTGGACCAGAAAATATCAACGATTCATGTAGCATTTGGTAGAGTACTTAGAAGTGCCTGTCTTCATAGTACAGAATAAACAGCCCCAATCACTGCTCTGGTATTGTCTAACGAATTTTAAGAGAAAGAGTAGAAAGAATCAAACTGACTTCAAGTAGCTTTACTGTCCACCAAAACAAAGTATTAAAACATTTGTTATTTGGTTCTAGACCGGTATCCTTCTGGAATGTCCTAAAATCTTGTGACTTGTGTTCTATATAATAGACTTGCTTCAAAAATGACATCAATTCATTGTTTCTCTCCATATTCATGCCCTCCATATTCATGCTGCATACTTGCCCAGGAGCTTACCCTCTCCTGATTCATCCGAAGTTGGAGTCTATTTTCCCATAAGCTGCCTAATGACTTTCTTTGTCCAATAGCATGTGGTAGAAATGATAGCTTGTCATTTGTAATTCTTTTTTTTTTTTTTTTTTTTTTTTTTGAGACGGAGTTTCGCTGTTGTTACCCAGGCTGGAGTGCAATGGCGCGATCCCAGCTCACCGCAACCTCCACCTCCTGGGTTCAGGCAATTCTCCTGCCTCAGCCTCCTGAGTAGCTGGGATTACAGGCACGCACCACCATGCCCAGCTAATTTTTTGTATTTTTAGTAGAGACGGGGTTTCACCATGGTGACCAGGATGTTCTCGATTTCTTGACCTTGTGATCCACCCGCCTCGGCCTCCCAAAGTGCTGGGATTACAGGCTTGAGCCACCGCGCCCGGCCCTGTCATTTGTAATTCTTAACCTCAAGAGTTCTTACTTACACTCTTTCTAGAAACACTGCCACTACCACCATAAGAACAGGTCAACCTGCGCTAGCCTGCTAGAGGCTGAGAGATCAATTGGAGAATAGCCAGTTACCACAGTGAGACCATCCTAGAACACCCAACAACCAGCCGACACTAGATATGAGTGATCTGATAAGAGAAAATGAGCTGCCCAAGGAAGTGTAATCAAGATCAATAGAATTCACAGTTGATCCATAGACTAAAGAGCATTTAAATATTTATTGTGTGTACCAGAAGTATCATGGTCTTTTGTTATGCAATATAATTGTGGCAATAGGTAGCAGATAGATGCATTAGATCAAAGTCCTGATGGGAGGTGTTGCCAAAGTGCTTGTGAGAAGTTCCTGAGACACTCTATGATACTCAGAAGGTTGGCCTGCCAGAACTCATAGAGAACCTTTAGGGGGCACTGTTGCCTAATCCACACACTGGCTAAAGGACCGACATATTTTGCTCTTCATAATCCCACTCTTAAAGAATTACAATATTTTAAAACTGAGAGAGATTTCAGTGATCAACTTATTTCATTACCTCATTTTCCAGTGGAGAAAAGTAAGAACAGAAGGCGACCAGTAGCTGGAAGTCATACAGTAGGTTACTTTGTATCTGTTTGACCTAATTATACACTTTCTCTACTCACAAATGGGGAGGAGGTTTTAAAGAAGGTAACAATCTGCACCTATTCGAGTCAGTCAAGTATTTAAAATAGTATAATGTTAAGGAAAATTATACAAGACTTGGACATCAGAA